CAAACAACGTTTCACGGATCAAAATTCCCTGAAGTCATTTTGAAGGTACATGTGTTGAGATGATGTGGAGCGATTTTGAGGCGAATCGGTGAAACGGCCGAGGCTGGTTTGATGTTTGTGTGAGGTGTACATTTGCAATGAATGGGGAGCGTTTCTCGTCGCCACGGCAACAGGGTAAAAAATAAGCCTTGGACCCAATTGACTTTTTGAATCCAAGAGGGCAAAACAGATTTATGTGCAAAATTTCAAACATTTTGAAAAAACTAAATTTGAAAATGCCCATCTAAAACTTTGAAATAGTCTGTAGGGGGCGCTAATGTGTCAATTTGAATTAATTCACTTTTTCAAAACGACCTAGACCCTAGAGTTGAACAATGTATTAAATTTTGTGCAAATCAGACTTTGTTTGTGCAAACGGGAGCAAAAATTTAATGTTGTCAAAAACGGCCAAAAAAAATTTTCCAAAGTACTTTTTTCTCTCCAATAATTTAAACTTTTATTTAAACTATTATTGCATTATTTCATCTTTACAAAACATAAATTACTCCTCTACTGAAGAATAAAGGTGGGATCCTATCTTTTTCTTTATGTCCAATAATGATCTTCAGTTGTATCTGAATTATCTAAGCTTAGGTCTAAGATACATAAGTCACCTGAGTCCAGATGCATTCAAACATCATTCTTCAGCATTCAACTCTGGTGAGTGAACTGTGCTGTGGTAAGATCTAAAGCCTGATCAAAAGATATCAAACAGGTTATTTATTTTTTCTTCAGGGAGTGAGTCAAGGCAACATGTTGTGGGATTCAATTTATAAACCAATCTTGTATGCTAACATATTTTGGTGTACATTATACATTCAAGTGTTTCCTCATCTGAAGCATATTATATAGGAAATCCAACAACATTGGTGTCTCACTAATCTGAATCTTGACACATGAAAAATTCCGAGGGCAGTGCATCTCAGTTGATGATTTCCTTTATAGATATCAGATTGAAAGAAAAGCAGGTACCTCACTATAATAATAATAATAATAATGCATGGGTTTAATGTAGCGCTTTTTAGGACACTCAAAGACGCTTCACATGTTATTATTCATTCATTCCATACACAGTGGTGATAAACTACTACTGTAGCTACAGCTGCCCTTGGGCACACTGACAGAAGCGAGGCAACCAGTCTGTGCCATCAGCCCCTCCGACCACCAACAACCATTCACACACACCAGACTCATTGTAGGCAATGGGGGTGACACAATGGCAGTTTGGCACTTTACAGCCGCAGCCGCCCCACTGTGGCATCAGGTATTCCCAAAGGTTAAACCCACAACCTTCTGGCTTAAAGGCCAATGCTCTATCAACTGAGCCACTGTCGCCTCAACTTTAGATACTCCAGCAGCAGTTCCGTAATAATGTAACCTCTATGAGCCCGAGCATTGCCATCAAGACGAAATGATGCCTATCCAGTTCATGGTGGTGCATAATGACTGGATTAATGTTGTTATTCAGATGGACTGTATCATTCACAAAGTGTGGAGCTGTTCAGTATTGACACACCTGCCAACACCGGCTATAGCTGGTGCATAGCGCCAAAAGTGTTAGCAGCCATTATTTCTGCTTGTGTGTGGGTGCAAAGAAAACTGGTGATATGGCACAATGTGCGTAAAATAAAAAAACAAACCCAAATGGGCATAATAAAAACAAATCCGGGCAGAAGTTTATCCATCCATCCATTTTCTTCCGCTTCATCCGTTGCCGGTAGCAGCAGTCGAAGCAGAGACGCCCAGACTTCCCTATCCACACACACTTCCTCCAGCTCGTCCGGGGGGACCCCAAGGCGTTCCCAGGCCAGCTGAGAGACATAGTCCCTCCAGCGTGTCCTGGGTCTTCCCCGGGGCCTCCTCCCGGCGGGACGTGCCCGGAACACCTCCCCAAGGAGGAGTCCAGGAGGCATCCGGAACAGATGCCCGAGCCACCTCAACTGGTTCCTCTCGGCGTGAAGAAGCAGCGGCTCTACTCCGAGCTCCTCCTGTGTGACTGAGCTCCTCAGCCTATCTCTAAGGGAGCGCCCAGCCACTCTGCGGAGGAAGCTCATTTCGACCGCTTGTATCCGCGATCTCGTTCTTTTGGTCATTACCCAAAGCTCATGACCATAGGTGAGGGAGGGAACGAAGATTGACCGGTAAATCGAAAGCTTTCCCTTTCGGCTCAGCTCCCTCTTCACCATGACGGTCCGACACAGCGACCGCATAACTGCGCACGCTTGCACCGATCCGCCTGTCAATCTCACGCTCCATCCTTCCCTCACTCGTGAACAAGACCCCGAGATACTTGAACTCCTCCACTTGAGGAAGGACTGCTCCACCCACCTGGAGAGGGCAAGAAACCTTTTTCCAGTCGAGCACCATGGCCTCGGATTTGGAGGTGCTGATTCTCATCCAAGCCGCTTCACATTCGGCTGCAAACCGTCCCAGTGCATGTTGCAGGTCCTGGTTTGTTTGGGCCAACAGGACAACATCGTCTGCAAAACCGGACCCTCTCCGGCCCCTGGCTGCGGCTAAAAATTCTGTCCATAAAAACAGTGAACAGAACCGGTGACAAAGGGCAGCAATGGCGGAGGCCAACATGCACCGGGAACAGGTCTGACTTACTGCCGGCAATGCAACCGCAGCTCTGGCTCCGGTTGTACAGGGACCAAACGGCCCTCAGCAGAGGACCCCAGACCCCGTACTCCCGGAGAACCCCCCAAAGGACACCCCGGGGAACACGGTCGAACGCCTTCTCCAAATCCACAAAGCACATGTGGACAGGTTGGGCAAACTCCCATGAACTCTCGAGTATCCAACGGAGAGTATAGAGTTGGTCCAGTGTTCCACGACCGGGACAAAAACCACACTGCTCCTGCTAAATCCAAAATTTGACATCGGTCGGAGTCTCCTCTCCAGTACCTTGGAGTAGACCTTACCGGGGAGGCTGAGGAGTGTGATCCCACGATAATTGGAACACACCCTCTGGTCCCCCTTCTTGTAGAGAGGGACCACCACCCCGGTCTGACACTCCATCGGCACCGCCCCCGATCGCCACGCGATGTTGCAGAGACGTGTCAGCCAAGACAGTCCAACAACATCCAGAAACTTAAGTTAGTCAGGACGGATCTCATCCACTCCCGGCGCCTTGCCAACATGGAGGCTGCCAACCACCTTGGTGACCTCAGCCAGGGAGATAGAAGTATCCGCCCCAACATCCTCAGCCTCTGCCTGACGGGGGGATTGAGGAGAACCTCAAAGTATTCCTTCCACCGCCCGACAATATCCCTAATCGAGGTCAGCAGCTCTCCACCCGCCCCATACACGGTGTTGGCAAAGAACTGCTTACCCCTCCTGAGGCGCCGGACGGTTTGCCAGAATCTCTTCGAGGCAGACCGATAGTCATGCTCCATGGACTCTGCGAACTCCTCCCAGTCCCGGGTTTCTGCCTCTGCAACAGCCTGGGCCGCAGCACGCTTAGCCTGACGGTACCGGACAGCTGCCAGGGGTCCGGTACAGGGGTCCCACAAACCATCATGGCTTGATAGCCATTCCTTACTGCTGGTGTCCACCACCGGGTTCCGGGGTTGCCGAGTGTCAGAGACACGTGGTCGAAGGTCAGATGATACGGCAGCAAAGACGATCATCAACCTCCGGCCTAGGGTGTCCTGGTGCCACGTGCACTGGTGGACACCCTTGTGCTCTAACATGGTGTTCATGATGGACAAACTGTGACTAGCACAGAAGTCCAACAACTGAACACTGCTCGGGTTCAGATCGGGGGGGCGTTCTTCCCGATCACCCCTCTCCACTGGCATTTCCCACATGGACGTTGAAGTCCCCCAGGAGAATAACGGAGTCTCCGAGAAGGCCGGGTACTCTGCACTGCTGTTAGGCCCGTAGGCTGTCACAACAGTGAGAGACTTGTCCCCCACCTGAAGGCGGAGGGACGCAACCCTCTGATTCACCGGGGAGAACTCCAACACGGGGCGGCTGAGATGGGGGGCAATGAGTATGGCCACCCCCGCTCGCCGCCACTCCCTGCGAGAAACGCCAGAGAAGTGGAGCGTCCATCCCCTCTCAAGGAGTTGGGTTCTAGAGCCCAAGCTGTCTGTGGAGGTGAGGCCGACTATCTCTAGTCGGTATTTCTCAACCTCCCCCACGAGCTCGGGCTCCTTCCCCCCCAGTGAAGTGACTTTCCACGTTGCCTTCGACTGCCGCCCAGTCCTCTCAGCACCACGCCAGCATGGACCCCTCTGCAGGTGGAGGGCTTGCCCATGTCGACCTTTCGGGCTGAGCCCGGCCGGGCCCCGTGGGCTAAGGCCCGGCCACCAGGTGCTCGCGTTCGAGCCCCGACCCCAGGCCTGGCTCTAGGGTGGGGCCCCGGCTGCGCCATGCCGGGCGACGTCACTGATCTTCTCATAGTGCTGTCCATGGTTGCTTCAGACTGTGCTTCCTCTGACTCGTCACCCGAGACCTGTCTGCCATGGGAGACCCTACCATGGGCATGAAGCCCCAGACAACATAGCTCCCAGGATCATCCGAGTACTCAAACTCCCCACCACGTTCAAGGTGGCAGTCCAGGGGGGAGCCGGGCAGAAGTTGATGTGATAAAAAGTATAGGGTCCGAAAACCTCTGACATGTTGGTCAAATAAACATAACTCTGAAGCATCACAAAAGGTATTTGGACACAGAGCAGAGAGGTTTTACACATTGATATTCCTGAATCACAATCCATTGCAATATTGCACACCTCGTGCAAAGGTCTGGCATGTACTGACTCCAACTCTGGGGTGGGTCAGGACTCATATGGGCCCCTGAGGACTTTAAATGCGCTGATGTACACTGACCTCGGAGCATTGTGATGGAGTGTGTGTGTGTGGGGGGGGTGTTTATGTGCAGAAGCTTTCTGCATATGGTCTATTTTTGTCAGACTCTGCAGCCTGTTGATTGACGGCTGTCGACAAGATGCGAAATGTTTGCAAAGGTTAGACCTTGATTGGGATTTTTGTTGAAAATTCTATGTGCAACTGTAACATCTGGAGGAATTAGATATGTCTTTTAGCTATTATTCTCACATTATTCACATACACAAATTTCAAGCCTACCCTACTCTTTGTAAAGTACAGAAGATCCTCATTTATCTAATGTAAATTGGAATGAGACAATAAATAAACATGAGAAGTCTGAATATTAACTTGATTGGTTAAAGCTAGTTGTTTATGGCAGTGGTTTCATAATTAATCTTCATTCATAAGATACATTGTCAATACTGTACATGGCCACATTGCCAGACACTCATCAGTTGACCTCAAGTCCCCACACGTATTAGAACACAAAGCTTTTTTATGGACTTTGGAGGGGATTTGAAAGTTTATCTCAGCTGGTGTCCACTACCAAGATTAAAAACGCAGGTGGACAGTTGACCACACTGGTAAGTTTCACAGAAGGCAAAAAGGCCATTAATCAAACCATGCATTGGTTCTGGGTTTGCTAGTTTTTTCCACCGCAATTCTCGGTTCCCGGTCAGCATATCGTGGGTGACCCCAGCAGACAACAAAGCAGCAGTGTTTGGTTGTTACCATAATAGCTTGAGGTTGTATTTGCAATGCAACTGAAAGACTAGTAAAATGATTTAACTCTACTTTAACTATTACACACACTTGTACATCTCAAGTACATCACTTTACATCTCAACATTGTTTGTTTTAATTAAAAAATATAAAATTAAAATTGCATTTAATGTCATTGTGATCAACACTTTTCCTCAGTTTACTTCTATAGGACATACATTGGTTTGAATGTTAAGGGTGTTAATCACTTCTGTACACAATTAAACCATAAATAAAATAATTAAACCATGCAATATTTTTCATCTATATAGAGCTACATCTTCTCACCTCCCGTAAGCACAATCCTCATACATGTTGAGGTTTCATATTTCATTATGTGAATCCTTAATGTATGCTGTACATTTACCATGAAGCCTGTTGTACACTTCTTTTGGGCATCACACTGCATGTAGTATGAGGCAGAAATAGACTGGGTCGTCATCAAGTTCAAAGAAAAGCTTGATACACTCATAAAACGCTGATGAAACTTGATCAGTTACACAAGCTGCCAATAAAAATATATCAAGGCAGTATTCAGTTATATTTTGAACATTTTATGAATACAAAAAAGTCAAATCAAATCATTCAAACAGGAGTAAATTACATATACAAAACATATGGGTTGAAATACTGTAAATGTGTATGAAAACTTACTAAGATATAAAAGTTAAATAACACAAATATCAATTAAATTATTTATTTCAAAGAAAACTGTACCGTAACAGAACTAATGTAGTGCAGTTATTATACAGTATAATAACTGCTTCTCATAGATGTAGCCTATTGAAAATCCAAGTTTAGGAAACTGTCAGGACTTTTTTTGGGAAAGGATGCCTTCCATCATTAACTTTGATGCACACATCATTTGATATGAGTCCCATTTTAACTTTAGGCGTGTCAGCAGCGCGGAATAGATATAAAGGGGGAACAGAGGGACAGCAGACACTGTCTGCCACTTGGGACAGCTGGTAAGGCTTCCTGTTTGGATAAGGACAATCAGTAATATTTCAAACATTTTGTGGCAAAAATAAAAAAAATTTATTAATACTTACAGAATTAAGGATCCTCAGCACAGTCAAGGGTCAGGTAAGAGCTTTTTGCTAGCTTTAAAAATGTACCTTTTGAAATTAATGTGCATTTATGAAGTTGAAGAATGTAGACCTCTAATACAGCCAAACTATGAGATAATCTCTCATTATTTGTGATGACAGCTAACTTTCATTCATTGGAAAAAACTATAATCCGAGATTCATAAGAACTTTTGCATCTCAAAACTGTAGAGCAGTTTTCAGTTCCCCTGAAAGTGGGGTCCAGGGCCCCCTGGAGGGCCTCAAAGACATTGCCAACAGGAAACTTACATATTCTTCAGTATTGAATGCAATTAGAGTTATTTATTGGGGGCCCCCCAAGGGTAACATTTGAAGCAAGGGCATTGAGCCTCTTGTAAAGGATGTTTAAACCTGGTTAAAAAGTATTAAATATTAAACAAAATGGTTTAAGTGATGTGAGTCGAAATCCTGTATTCTAAATTTATTCATGCAGACAACAACCGCCACCATGAGTACAGACGCTGAGATGCAGATTTACGGCAAGGCTGCCATCTACCTCCGTAAACCAGAGAGGGAGAGGATTGAGGCTCAAAGCGCTCCCTTTGATGCCAAAAGTGCCTGCTACGTGGCTGATGTCAAGGAGTTGTACCTCAAGGCTACAATTGTCAAGAAGGACGGTGGCAAAGTCACAGTCAAGGTCTTGGACACTCAGGAGGTTAGTTATTACCACTTAACGGTTAATAAAAGGACAAAGAATTTGTTCTGCTTACACACCCCATGTTCTGTAAAAGGAGAGAACAGTTAAAGAAGATGAAGTCTCCCCCATGAATCCTCCCAAATACGACAAAATTGAGGACATGGCCATGATGACCCACCTCAATGAAGCTTCTGTGCTTTATAACCTCAAAGAGCGTTATGCAGCATGGATGATCTACGTAAGAAATTTATTTAACATCATGTGAACACTGTATTAAGGACAGTCAAATTCATGTTTAAGTGACTATGTCTTCAGACCTACTCTGGGCTGTTCTGTGCGACTGTCAACCCCTACAAGTGGCTGCCAGTGTACGACATGGAAGTTGTCAATGCCTACAGAGGCAAGAAGCGTATGGAGGCTCCACCCCACATCTTCTCCGTCTCTGACAACGCTTATCAGTTCATGCTTACTGGTAAGTATGACTGACATTCAAAACATAATGAATGATGCAGGTTTGATATACTGTATTTTACATTTTAATAGACAGGGAGAACCAGTCTGTCTTGATCACGTAAGTTAATTATTCTAATAATAATTCCATAGATTTAGTCATGGTTTCACAAGTCTTTTTTTTATCCACAGTGGAGAATCTGGTGCTGGAAAGACTGTGAACACCAAGCGTGTCATTCAGTACTTTGCCACAATCTCTGTTGGGGGTGGTGATAAAAAGAAGGAAGCTGTTCCAGGAAAGATGCAGGTTGGTTTTGTAATTATTAAGTTATTAAATATAAAAGAGACGTTATATTTCAAAGATAAAAATGGAACCATCATTCCCTCTGCAGGGATCCCTGGAGGATCAGATTATTGCAGCCAATCCACTGCTGGAGGCTTATGGCAATGCCAAGACTGTGAGAAATGACAACTCCTCTCGTTTTGTAAGTAATAAAGAGTATAGAAACACATTTGCATTCATATTTGTACACAACATAATAATTATTTTCATCCAATCAGGGTAAATTCATCAGAATTCATTTCGGCACAACTGGTAAACTGGCTAGTGCTGATATTGAAACCTGTAAGTATGATTTTTCAATAAAAGCTAAATGTGAAATCTAAATTCTAAACAATGCTCCTTACCATAATAGATCTGCTGGAAAAGTCTAGAGTGACATTCCAGCTTGAACAGGAGAGAGGCTACCACATCTTCTACCAGATGATGACCAATCACAAGCCTGAGCTCGTTGGTAGGCAGATAATGAAAAAACAAAAGCACAAGAGCATCTATATCATATTCTCATACTGTGTGCTTTTCAGAAATGTCTCTTCTCACAACCAACCCATACGACTTCCCCATGTGCAGCATGGGTCAAATCACTGTTGCTAGCATTGATGACAAAGAGGAGCTGGATGCAACTGATGTAATTGAATCACATATACACATATATATATACATATATACATATGCCCCACTGTATATATATAAACAGTATATTAGCATGCTGAGAAATACTAATACTTAAGCAAACATATTTCAAATCAGAATGCCATTGACATCCTGGGCTTCACCGCTGAGGAGAAGGTCAGCATCTACAAAACGACAGGTGCTGTCCTCCACCACGGAAACATGAAGTTCAAGCAAAAGCAGCGCGAGGAGCAGGCTGAACCAGATGGCACTGAGGGTAAGTGGAAAATATGTCTCAGTTAAACTTTTTTAATTATATTAGCGGATTTAGTAAACAGTTTCCAAGATGATACACTGTGAAAAGAGTAATATAATAATAAAATATTATATGAACTTTACCAGGTACCAGTCAGTTGAAGAGGGGTTAGAGCCAAATAAGCATTATTGAACACCATATTAAAATTTTCCATATCTTGTTCATGGTTTTATTTTGTACTTTCACTGACCTAACATCAAACCAACCAATGGTGGTGGAGAATGAGCGGTCTGGGGTTTCCGAGGAGTAGCTTGACTGTGCGATTTGCCATGGAGCCTCTGTCCCTCCTTATTCACTTGCCTTCCTCTCCTCAGTGTGTCATGGCCTCTAGATTCCTGCACTTTCAATAATACTTTTTTACTATAATAAATGTATGCATTTGCATCATTATCTTTTCATTTTTAAAGCATATTATTCAGATTAATTAGCAATACTTTTATTTTGAAGTCCAATGTGTAATCAACCAATACTCTCTACAGACAATGTGCTTGTCCTTTAAATGGAAATTTCAGTCGGAATAGTAGAAGACATAAACAAAGATTTCCTTCCTTTTTTAACGTGGGATGGCTTGTTCCATAACACACCACATTATCTTTACAGATGCTGACAAGGTTGCTTACCTGCTGGGTCTGAACTCTGCTGACATGCTTAAGGCATTGTGCTACCCCAGAGTCAAGGTCGGAAATGAGTTTGTCACCAAGGGACAGACAGTGCCACAGGTAACAAGTTAAAGTATCAATGGTAAACAATAAAACCCTGCTGTAAAAGGTTTGCTAACACAAAGTTATTTTAGGTGATGAATTCTGTTCCTGCCCTGGCCAAGTCCATCTATGAGAGAATGTTCTTGTGGATGGTCATTCGTATCAACCAGATGTTGGACACCAAGCAAGCAAGAAACTATTTCATTGGTGTCTTGGACATTGCTGGATTTGAAATCTTTGATGTAATCTTCATTCTCTAAAAACAATGTTAATCAAGCAGGGGTGTTCATATGAGATATTTGTTGTTGACAGTTCAACACCTTGGAGCAGCTGTGCATTAACTTCACCAATGAGAAACTGCAACAGTTCTTTAACCACACCATGTTCGTCCTGGAGCAAGAGGAGTACAAGAAGGAGGGTATTGTCTGGGAGTTCATTGATTTCGGTATGGACTTGGCTGCCTGCATTGAGCTGATTGAAAAGGTAGACCTTTCATTTTGAATCAACTATAGGAAAGTCGTTCAACTCTAACATATGAGTCTCGTTCTTTTTTTATCTAGCCTATGGGCATCTTTGCCATCCTTGAAGAGGAGTGCATGTTCCCCAAAGCCTCAGATACAACTTTCAAGAACAAGCTGTATGATCAACATCTTGGCAAGACCAAAGCCTTTGAGAAGCCCAAGCCCGTCAAAGGCAAGCCCGAGGCCCACTTCTCCCTGGTGCACTATGCTGGAACTGTGGACTACAACATTGCTGGCTGGCTGGACAAGAACAAGGACCCACTGAACGACTCTGTTGTGCAGCTGTACCAAAAATCTTCAGTCAAACTCTTGCCTATTCTGTATCCCCCGACTGTTGAAGGTGTGATAATTGTTTCATAAATCTACTTTGGCAAAACGTGCAAATATAAAACATAACCATGTGTATGCTATTTTTTTCTTACAGAGCCCAAGGGTGGCAAGGGAGGCAAGAAGAAGGGTGGTTCTATGCAGACTGTTTCGTCACAGTTCAGGGTATGAATTCACTCAATACATTACAGTGAGGTTTCTCTCTTCCAATTCTCCTTTGTCAAGGTAATTATTTTCACTGTTACAGGAGAATTTGGGCAAGCTGATGACTAATTTGAGGAGCACTCATCCTCACTTTGTGCGTTGTCTGATTCCGAACGAGTCTAAGACTCCCGGTATAAATCAAGAAGATTCTCTACATGGTTTTGTTATGATCAAAATCTATTCAGCTGACAAATAACTCTTATTGCACCAGGTCTGATGGAGAACTTCCTGGTCATCCACCAGCTTAGGTGCAATGGTGTCCTGGAGGGTATCAGAATCTGCAGAAAGGGTTTCCCAAGCAGAATTTTGTACGGTGACTTCAAACAGAGGTATCCGTGAACTCTGAAAGTGGACCTACAATATCATAAATCTATAATGTAATATCTGTTTTTCCTTTTTCAAAAAGATACAAGGTGCTGAATGCCAGTGTTATCCCTGACGGTCAGTTCATTGACAACAAGAAGGCTTCAGAGAAGCTTCTGGGATCTATTGATGTCAACCATGATGAGTATCGATTTGGGCACACTAAGGTGAGTAAATTTGAATGAACAAATATTAGAGATTTTCAATGTTGTTTTGAAATTTCTGTCCCTCTATGTTATAGGTGTTCTTCAAAGCTGGTCTGTTGGGTGTTCTTGAGGAGATGAGAGATGAAAAACTTGCAACCCTTGTCACAATGACACAGGCTTTGTGCCGTGGGTACCTCATGAGAAGAGAGTTTGTAAAGATGATGGAGAGAAGGTATGTCCACTGTAATAATTATATATTTACTAACATAACAAACACTTTTAATTCAGCAAATAGTTTTTGTTTTTTAACACAGACATACGTATTCATGTTTTTTCTAGAGAGGCCATCTATACCATTCAATACAATATCCGATCATTCATGAATGTCAAACACTGGCCATGGATGAAGGTGTACTATAAGATCAAGCCACTCCTGAAGAGTGCTGAGACTGAGAAGGAACTTGCCAATATGAAGGAGAATTATGAGAAGATGACCAATGACTTGGCTGCAGCTCTGGCCAAGAAGAAGGATCTTGAGGAGAAGATGGTTTCTCTAATTCAAGAAAAGAATGATCTGCTACTACAAGTTTCTTCTGTGAGTCCTCAAACAGACAATGTCACACACATTGGTAAAATATGCTGAAAGCTTTTGAACCTGAAAAAAATCAGGATGTTTGAGAATTATGCATGATATAACACTAGCTTATGTCCCAAAATATAACTTGGTACATACAATTATCCACTTGTAAGAGCACTGTTCTTTTATTTTCTTAGAGGGAGAGGGAGAGGAGGGGATGTGCTGCATGTTTCTTTGTTTGAGTTGGTGTTTCCTGTCACATCCTCACAGTGCTGCCTGCAGGACTGGCACTGATATTACTCCCAGATGAATTTTTGATTAACTGGTTTCACTGTAGGTTTACATTATTTCTGGAAGGGAGAAGTTAAGTACTCCAGCTTTAACAGTAATTTATCAGGGGCATTTTTGTTGTTGTTGTCGTTTTTGTTTACTAATATGTTTTAAATCTTCTTAAAATATGTTACCCAGCAGGCCTTTTTTAAAACTTGCTTCGATCATGTTTTGGATGGATTTGATAAAGTTATTTCGCCATGTACTAAATTGATAAAGTAAATTAAATGAAACATTATTGTTCGACACAAATTAATGTTTTTAATAGTCACTCAACTTTATTAATTCAATCCAACAATTTATTTCTTATCTAATACAAGCACAAACAAATGGATTACCTTTTCCATGAAACTTTGTGTATTTTACTGCTAACAAATCAAACAATACATTTATACCCTTTTAATCTTCCTTAAAGGCTCGTTCTAACCTTTCGCGGTCACTTGACTTCCTGGAATTCACCAACAACCAACCTCCAGCCAACCTCAAGGCTGTGTGAGCATGTGAGGCCCACTGTCAGACTGCTGCTGCCAAAACATGAATTAACAATACACTTTTCATACACATGCCAGGACTGAATAACCTTTTCACTTCTTCTACTGTTCACGCACTTTTCCTCTGTATGGACTCCAGCACAAATTGAATATAGCAGTAATTACGACAAAGATCTTGCACCAGAGCACCATTAAAATCAGTTCTCCACAGGCAGTTAACGTCTCAATATCAAAGGCAGAGCAAGTGAAGAACTATAGGAAGAATTTGACGTTGAAGTTACAGTTTCTTTCAACGCGTGGGTTTTACTAGAAATGCACCAACCCAAGCTTTAACCGTTCTTCAGCTTCTGCTGCCATCACAAACCGTTTGAATCTGAAAAGTAAATTCCTGTGGCCATCGAGACCACAGTATTTGCAGCATCACTGAGTCTGAAGCCACAAGCTGGGGAGGGGGGGGTGATGTGATGAGGCGTGTTTGTTGGTATGTCTGTCTGTCTGTTATAACTTAAGCTTTCAGGGAACGTAAACTTGCACAAAGAAGAAATTGTGAGGCGATCGGGATAACTGTCTGGATGCAAAATGTATCCACAGAAATAGTATAATAATATTGAACCAAAACACACTATAGTCACTTGTTTGAAAGAACCTCCAAACCTGACATGGATCTCGGTACCAAAGGATAAAAGGCATAGCAAAAGCATCAAACACCCAAAGACATCAGACAGTTATGAGATAATAATGCTTTATTCTTGGTATCTGGGTCCCTGTCAGAATTGTTGATGTAATCTAGAAAACTAGAAAAGTGCTTTTCTAGTTTCATGAATATATGACTATTGCAAACAGGGCTTTAGTTAAAATGATCCCGGTGTATGACTGATGTTTTGACTCTTTATTTCAAGCTGCCAGTGTGATTTTGGTTTCAGTTTTTTATCCCTTGAGCAAGAGAATGCAGTTTTCGAAAGTGGAAAGATATAAAAACTTTTCAAAAGAACCAAAATAATCCATGGCAAATTTCACCATGTGCTCCACAATAAACAGTGACACCCTCCAAATGTCATTTTGTGCAATTCTTTAACGTTTTTGGAACTGCCAATAGAACAAACTCTTTATGACTAAGATGGGTTTTAAAAAGAAATATGCTTTATTTATGGAAAGTGAAAAATGATTGACATTGGCTTAACTTTGTCATTTCCTTTTAGAATATAAATAAAATGTTAAGTCTAAAAAGTAAAACAATTATGCAGGATAATCATTGCTATCTGTGTTCCCCTGTGCTACCACCAGAGGGAAGAGTTGAATTTCCTTTGTTTTTCAAATTTGAAAACTACAGACTGCAAGTACAGCCTTAAGCCACGTTCAGACCGGATCATGCTGCGTCGGCTTTCAATGCAAAGTGTACGGTGACGCGTCGTTTTTTTTTTTCACTGCCGCTGCTTTAGATAGATAGATAGATAGATAGATAGATATATACATAGATAGATAGATAGATAGATACATAGAGACATAGATAGATAGATAGATAGATAGACATATAGATAGATAGATAGATACTTTATTGATCCAAAAAGGAAATGGTGCATTGGTCCTTTGCATCGCATTCATACAAACATACAAACATAGGATAGAGCTAAAAGATACAAACAGTTAAAAAAGACAATAAAATACATTAAAATCATTAAAAAAGAGAAGTTATGGCACTGCAAGACCATTCTCAAGACCCCCCCCCCTCCCCCCCACCCCCCCCTGCTGCTTTTGCCTTTGACCAAGTTCCATGTCTGTAAGGCCCAGATTCTTACCCCGATCACATGTGCTTCACGTTGGCCGTCATAATGCCTGCCTGGACCTACTTTCATAATTAGGGAGTGACTGAGGATTATTCAAAGCCAAGCAATAAGCCCATTCTCATGTATGCTTGAGAATCCATCCCTTATGCAGAAAAGTTTCCATGTGTCGAAGCCTTTTGAGACAATTGGACATTTGCATTTAGAATATATAATTTACAATGGCCTTAGAATGAGAATGTATAAAAAAGGGGATTCATTATTCATGTGAAAGTATTGAGCTGTAAACGCGCTGTCGAAACTTTAGATTCAGTTACAGGAGAGAGAGAGATGCATAATATCGTTTTCAAGCTTTTAGCTGCACAATGTTTTGCCAAAAAGTCCATAAAGATCACTTAATGGTTGTCTGCGTGATATGATTTAGAGCTAATAAAAATCTATTAAAGACACAATGAAAGGCCTCAGAAAGAGTAAGCCTTGAAATGTGTGCAATAGTGTTCATACCCCGTGCACTTTTCAACATTGTGTCTCATTACGAACGCAAACATACACATATTTTCTCCTTTTTTTCATATGAAAGAAAAACATAAAGTGGCAGACCATTTGCCAATTTATGTTTTATGTTGGCAGAAAAACGACACATGGGTTTGTTATAAACGAGAAAATGGAAGTGTTCATTATTGACTTGAAGCTGGATGACCTAAATTTGTAGAGTAATCAATGTTAGTTAGATACTTTATTGATCCCCACAGGAGAAATTCAGTTTTTTCGGTTCTATAAATTTTTCTTATGCATGAATTTTTGGCCTCTGTTACATCTTTAAACACACTTTTTCCTGGATCTATAGCCCGTCGTTCTGTGAGAGCGGATCCATCCCTCAATGTGGGCCTCCTAGAAGTTTCTCACTTTTCTCCCACTGGGTTTTTAGAGTTTTTTGAGAGGGTCCAACACAGTGGTGAGGATCCAGTTCATTCAGCAACATTTATGGACTTATATGGTAATCTGTTGTCATTGCATTTCCTGTGTTTGAACTGTTTGACAGCATGTTATGATCTGATTTGTTCACATAATCTTACTTTAAAGGTATATAGGAGGATTTTCTACTTCCAGGTGGATCATCAAGACTATTGGTCCAACCTATTGTCAATCATTGGAGAGGGAGAGGGCAGTTCTTTCCTAAAATCTGGGAAAATCCTCCTATATACCTTTAATATGACTTTTCAAACTGTAGGGACAATCAGCAATACTCAAAAATATCAAAAATAATCTAGAAATGTAGTTTTTTAGCATACGTTTAGGCAGCAGATCCAATGAAATGACCCTTTAATATTGGCTCTATATTCTTGAACGTTCCCTTAAAGACCTTAAACAAATGTAGTGCTTAACTAATCCCAAACACCAACAATCCCACAGAGTTAACTCGTTCAAGATCCAGGATTCATAATGGAGTCTGGTATGATATTTGTCCAAAACGGGCCTAAAGACCAGCCCGGGTGTAAGTCCCGTGACCGCTCAGCCGACTCCTGCCGCTGAACGCTTGTGTGAGCAGAACCGAGTCATGTGAGATGTGACTGCAGCTTACGCACTGATAATCCTTTGCCTCTGGATGGAGAGAACAACACAAAAGCCAGAGTTGAAGTCGGTAGAGTGCAGCGACAGGAGGAGTTCTCATGACATGTCTCCGGGGCATATGTACAACCCGATGGTTTAGTGTTGTCCCGCTCAACATCTGTACTACTGTGTTTTCTATAGAGAATGAATAGAAAAGTAATGGATAAAATGTCATTAACATTTCGCTTGAGACTGTAAATCTATGAAAGGTGAAAAGGTAGTAGTGCTGGATCAGTTATATTGGAAATTAAGTAAGTAAGTAAGTAATGTTTATTTATATAGCGCATTTTACAGACCAAGGTACAGACCCAAAGCGCTTTACAATGTTCAGAGTCAGATTTTGTTCCAATCCTTCCACACACGGTGATGACAGAAGCGAGTCCAGAACACACTGGACCATCAGCTCCAACACCATCCATTCACTCTCTCATTTACATTCAGACCTATTGTGCATGTTTTTAGTGGTAGGGGAAACCGGAGCACTCGGAGGAAACCTACGCAGACACGGGGAGAACATGCAAACTCCACTCAGAAAGGCCCTGTTCCGACTAGGATTCAGGAGCACACAAGAAGCACACAGAATATACAAAACTGAGTGTTTGAATGGTTCTACCTGACCATAAAGGCACTTTAGCGATTGTGCTAATGTTTGCCGACACATTGTTTGATATGTGTTGTCCTAAATTCCAATAAATTATTAAAAATACAATTAAATAAAATATCTTGTTTGATCTTCTAAGACAGTGGTTCCCAATCTTTTTATCCTTGTGGACCCCTAGGCAGCGCAGACAGGGCACTTACCGGGAATTTTTTTTTCATGTTTCCCAGGCGTGAAAATTTGCAATATGGGCCACATTTGTTTTTAGACTTGACTGTTCCCAAAATCTCCATTATTTTCTTTTTGTCCTCATTTTTTCTTTAAAGCTCATCTTTTGCATCTAATTTTATTTCAGTTTCATTTTTAAATGTTTGGTACATCTTGATCAATTTTATACTGGACCAACACTAAGAAAAGCTTGTTATGCCTTCATTACTTGACCAAATGGTGTAGCTCAGTGTCTCCCAAAGTGGGGTCCGCGGCCCCCTGGTGGGCCGCGAGGGTACTGCAGGGGGGCCGCGGGAGGTCATAAAAAAAAAAAAAATAATTATTATTATTTAATGTTAAATTTAGAATGTTTTGTTTGTAATATTAAAATTTTTGTGTTCATTATTTGACTTGAATAATCCACTGTAATCATTTTTGTATTACAATGTTTGTAGCAGAGGCCATCCATCCATTTTCTTCCCTTTAATCCATTTCTGGGTCAGGGGGGTGGCAGTCAGAGATGCCACCCAAGTCTCATAGCACCAGCCCCTCACTGACCCTCTGCAGGTGGTGAGTCCACAGGAGGACGGCTGCTCTCTGTGAGCATAGCCTTGATCTTTCAGTGGGAGCTTTGGGCAAAGTGGGGTTAAGTGTCTTGCCCAAGGACACAACGACAGCAGTCATCAGTGGGAGTCGGTGGAGAAGGTGCAGAGGTGGGAATTGAACCCACGACCTTCTGGCCTTAAGGCCAATGCTCTACCAACTGAGCTACTGCCGCCCTAAAAAAAAATGAGGAACGCTTCACGAA